CACATCAATTTTTTGTAATTCTCATTGAGAAAAAAGTTTTCAATGAGGTACTAAGTCAATGAATCTCAATTGTACTCATCCAAGTGCTCACACTTGTACTCTTTATATCACTTGAGAGCAAAATTTTCCAAAAAATCTTACAAAAGTATAGTACATTCGTACTTCTTGCTCTTATTATTTCCTATACAATACTTTTTGAAGTCCCTAACAAAAGCTTCTACATTCTTCTTCCCATAAAACACCAAAATTTTTTTCATTTCTAACTAATTTTTTTTCTCTTTTGAAAATTTATATATGAATTCATAATATAACATATAAAACTAATTTCATACTTGAATAATTTATTAAAAAAACAAAAAAGAATTTGCTCATCCAATATAACTATAATTTTTTCTTCTTAAACACACAATAAATTTACCTTCTCCATTATCCGAAAGATTATCTCCATCATAAATTTGAGCTTGAATTAGTCGAGGTTACTTTCTTCGTTTTAGCACTATACTTGTCACAAATAAATCTTTCCACAAATTATTAGAGAAATGCCTTCACTTTGCTACATTCGTGTACCGCCAGTTGTTCAATCATTCGACAATGTCATTGTATGTCGCGCTTTGAGATTCATGTGACGATGATGGTCCCAAGTGAAGTTTCAAATTTACCAAATTTGTCGGTTTCTAAATTTATTATACTTGTTCCGCAGGGAACAATTAACAACTTTATGTCATTACTTTACATAACAAAAACAAGTTTGGCGTTTGGGGATGTACTTATTATTCTATTTTCAAACTCTGTCTTGAATTCTTTCGTATTAGAATCTAAAGAAACTAAAACATTGTAACCTTGAGTCACTTTGGATGAATGAATCTTCCAACCATCTTGTTCACATATTTTTCCATAAGGTAATTTCACTTCAAAGATTTCACCTTATAAAAAATATTTTCATAAACGTTATTTATTTGGCATAAATTACAAATAAAAAAATCCAAAACTTTTGTTCACTTATCTTGATTTCGTATTTTCAAATTTAAAAATAATTAAATTTTGTCTCTAGATATATATTTTTTGTTTCATATATATAATTCAGACTTGAAACAAAAATTGAAACATATTTTAGGTTCCACTCTAAAATCACTATAAAAAAATTGAAAATATGTTTATACATGTTTTTCTATCTATGGAATCATTTTTTATTTCTAACCTACATGGTCAAGTGAACAAAACAAAGCAAAATTAATTCAAATATATTATTTGAGACAACTGGATAAAAAAAAGATTCCGTATTGTCAAACATGTTTTTTATTCAGTTATTGCACAGTGTTACCTCCAATAATCTCTCATGGACATTTCTTTTTGAGTTAAAAACCGAATCCTTAACATTTAGTCTTCTAGATTGAAGTCCGATAACGGAACCAAAAATGTAAACTACGGGTTGATTCTTATAACATATCATGCGATCACACATCATGGTTCTAGAAAGCTAGGATTTTTATCGTATTCATAGTTTAAACACATTTTCACATAATCTTTCATTTTTTTTTCCAATTCATATTCAACATTTTAATATTTTAAATTTTTGACATTGAAAATTTTAAATTGTTGAAATTTTTCTCTTTTTCATATATGAAAGAATTTTTACACATGAATACTCTAAATTTGTTTGAGATGATTTTCTCTCACTCTTTATATATATTATTTGAAAATTTATTTTCATAATAAATTGTTATCTTTACCAAATTATATTTATTGCAAATCAAACACGTTTCTTTTTATGTATAAAGATATACATCTTTGTTTCTTTTTTCAAAAGTTTATTAATGAAGATTACATCAAATGGAGTCTACTCACTTCTCACTGGCTTTTTGTGTAACCGTATTGTTGTTGTATCAAAGTCTATCATGTTGTCAGATGTTAACAACCGCATTGTTGTTGTATCAAATTCCGTCATGTTGTCAGATGTTTCAAAAATTTACCTAAAAATGAAAGTCATCACAAATAAGATATGAATTGCAAAATTTTTGTGTAGAATATAATTTTCATACTCTCCATCTCATCTTTTTGAGTTCTGATTCATCTTCTTCTATAACTATATTATATGAATCTTGAGATATGCTAAAATCTCAATGATCTATTTCAGCTTGTTTGAGATATATTACAAGTGATTTTACATTCTTATTGTCACTATTAGAAGATATAAAAAAAATATCCAAATTTTTTTCCCAAAAAAAATTGTATGAAATTTACTAATATACATAATTCATACTGATTTCATGAGTATGTAATTAGTGTAAGAAACACAAAAGGAATTCATTCATCAAACATTGTGCATTGTGGAGTTTCATGCTCAATCTCTATTGCAACACTTCAACTTTTGATTGTCATGTCATAAATCTTCAACCTCGATAGATCCAATTATTTATATCTACCTTTAGTTACTTAAAATTAAAATAGAAATGACTCATATCTACCTTTAGTTACTTGGAGTTTTATGTTCAATCTTTATTGCAACACTTCAATTTTTGATTGTCATGTCATGAATCTTCAACCTCGATGTATCCAATTATTTATATCTACCTTTAGTTATTTAAAATTAAAATAGAAATGACTCATATCTACCTTTAGTTATTTAAAATTAAAATAGAAATGACTCATATCTACCTTTAGTTACTAGGAGTTTTATGTTCAATCTTTATTGCAACACTTCAACTTTTGATTGTCATGTCATGAATCTTCAACCTCGATGTACCCAATTATTTATATCTACCTTTAGTTATTTAAAATTAAAATAGAAATGACTCATATCTACCTTAAGTTATTTAAAATTGAAATAGAAATTACTCAAAGTAGTTATTTGATTAATTTAAATAAAATATTCACGTACTTAATAGATATAAAATAAATTTATTAATTTACAATGACACATTAACTAACCATGTTATTATTGAATAATGATTAAATATATCAATTAAAGTCTTCAATCTGGGCTGAAGTCAAGTTGGAGCCAGAATGCCCGGTAAGTGCAGCACAAAAGGCCCAAAGGGCACGAGACCCGAACCTTAGGGGCCTTCGGGCACTCGGCCCTCTCCTTCTAGTGTTTTTGGAACCCCAAAGCTTTCTGGGAGAGGGCCGAAGGAGGCTATCTCCCCGATAGGGTATAGGCCACTCAAATCTGGGAATAGTCCAACAAGCCCGTGTGAAGATCGAATGACTACTTCAGCCGATGGGGCTGAAGCTTAAGTAAAGTAAAACGCACATCTGCCACGGCCAAAAAAAGAAAGCTGCCTGGTCCGACCGTGTCCGTATGTCCGTTTCGGAACAGATTCAAGCTTATTTAGCTTATTATTGGAATCATCATCTTTGTACTTATTATATTTCTTTGTCGTGTTATATATCCATCATGATGAAATAAATTATGGAAAGAAATAACATTTTCTTCTTATAGTTAATGCTAATTATGTAAAACAAAAGAACAACATTATTAGTATCTATCATTTCATCTTTAAATTTTATGTTACAATAATATCTAGGCTACGTGACTATTTCCTTACTATCCTTTTAAGAAAAAACTGACATTGTTACTAGTTAATCACTAAGTTTTAAACAAATAGAAGCCTTCACTCAAATAACCGGGTGCCCCATTGCCTACCCTTCTCCGCCGCTGCAACCCGAAGCGAAGTCTTAGACGCGTACTACGGGTCTTCAGATTTTCAACCCGCCTCGTCCGCTCATGTGGCTGGACCTCGTCGGTCTCGCCTACAGGCTGTAGCAGTCCCCAATGTGTTGGGTAATCTGCCCCATATTTTCACTCCAACCTGCGTCCTGGCCGTTTTTGATCATCTGCAGGCAGAGGGCATGACTGCGTCCTTTAGTATGCGTTCCCGTGTGCGCAAGGCACGGAGTTAGCTGCAGGCAGGGTATGCTTTCCCGAAAACGATTCCGATTGGCCATAACAGCACCTCATCTCATTAGTGCCAGAGTCTCGCATCACGGTCTCAGGCAGAAAGCGAGGTCCGTAGGCCCCCGGAAGCACGTTCGACCCAAACTCTTTGGCCCAAAGTGCGCACCACCTCTCTCGGAAAGTCTCCTGCCCCTTGGCCCCGACGGGTCTTCGTGTTTTGAAATCGTCAAGCAATTTCCGAGCTATTGACTCTGTAAAGCCAAAGAAGTCTCCTTCGGACTCGGACCCTTTGTTCGAATGTATCGGTTTGATCAGCCCTCACCCCGCCTCTGGCCCTAAGTGATGCTTTGGTTCCTCTGCTGTTACCAGCTTCCAGTAATCCATATCCAGTTCGTGTGAAGTTCGGCCACACGTTTATTACTCTAGGTGTTCTGTTGGCTGCCCCCAAAACCACATTCGGAAACCATATGCCCGTCGTGTGAAGTTCAGCCTCACACTTTAATTACTCTAGGTGACCTGACAATTTCTCTGGATAAGCCAAACTGGAAGAAGAAGCAAGTTAAGAAGAAACACCAGTTAAAGATCAAAGAAAGTATTCATAGAAATCCGGCTTCCTTCCTCGATTCTTTTGCAGGCTGATTGAGTCGCTCGTATTAAAACTATACTTTGTCGACGGTAGAGGACTTGGAAAGGGCTCTATCACAATTACCGGATGTCATTTCCGGTTCCAGTCAGGGAGGGTGAAATGGGGTTGCGTCGCGGTTCCCGAATGTCTAAGAACTCCAGAGTTCGCGGCAGCTCGCACTACTACCTGGACTAGGTTCGCTGAGTGTTTCCGTACATGAGGTCCTAGAGAGAGTCTCAGGAATCTGATAGCTGAATTAGGAATAACGAAAAACAAATAACCCTAAGGTTTTCAGAACCCTAAGGTCGCCGAAGGCACGAGACTATAAGGATACGTGCTCCGCACTTTGTGGCCCCGGGGGGCACGAGACCCAATAGGTGAGAGTGTCCGAAGTCTTGGCCGAAATGGCTGAGAAAACATCAGGGCCTTTGGATATGATAATTTTTGAATGAAACAATGAATAACAAAGAAATGATGATTGTATGAAAATTATCCAAAGTCATTGAGCTTATATATTGTTTTTATTGATATATTATTGTGTAACCAAATTTTGAATGATCATGGATGTTTTTTGCGAAAACTATTTCGAATTTAAAAAAATAATTCAAAATGTGAAATTTGAAATAAAATATAAAAAATGTAAATCCCAACCATCACGTAAACAATATAGACCCCCCTGGGTTTCTGAGCGCTCTCTTTCCTGATTTATCAAACGACAGCAACGGCTTCATCAGCGCAGTCCTACGGGTGGGATTACACGATAACAAAACTTTCTTGAAAAAATGAATATGAGCGCAAAAATAATACCTCATGGCACGGTACACAGGCCGATACCAAAAGAAATATGACCCGAAGACCCCGTATATAAAGTAGCCGAAGGCACGGACCCATATCTGCAGATCTGTGTACCAGTAACTTAAGAACTTAAGCACAGAGCACATTGCAAGAAAAAGTCACATCGAATCATAAAACTGCTGTCATCACGGCGCGACAAAGACGTATCGCAAAGAGTAAAACTGTCACTCCTTTCCTATAATCAATTATAGGAACAACTCACCATCATAGGGGTCGGTTATAGTAAGGGAACCCTTTATCCACGCCACAGTTACGGCAATAAAGTTCCAAGTTAAACACAAGAGCATAGCTGTAGAGAAAGCTCATTACGTTAGGCAAACACTCACCATCTGCTGTGAGACAGAACCTTAAGTCCATGCACCACTCACAGTAACAAATTTCCACGTCAGAACCAAGAGCAAACCTGTAATATAGTTATCTAGAACAATCAAGACTCCTAGAACTAAGGTTCGTTAATCGAAGTGTGGTTCATCGCCGATACAGGTGAGCCTCCACGCCAAGAGAAAAGTGAGTTAGCATGTAGGGCCGAAAAAAAAGCGTTTATGCAACTAAGTTTCAACGATCCCATTAGATTTAATTCCTAGACAATAACTGTCCCGTTTAATAACAGACGAGCAAGACATTCTACGCGTACTATGTGAACTAAGTACTTCCTAGCCGGCATTGGCTTCAAAAACAACAAATTATCTTACCTTCGAGAGGTACACAAGACTTACATACAAAGATGCGGTATGAAACGTACAATGAACCTGACTATTGATAGCACTCAAAAAGCAAGGAAAACATATGCGCAAAATTATACCGAGCCAGCTCGCATAGGCGAAGTACTGAATGCGCTGCAAGTGAAGTGGAATATCTCTGGGGATATCGTGATGAAGAATCGGCAAGAAAGGGGGCCAATTCTTGTCCTCGATCAAGATACCATCTGTGCAACAAACACACAATGCTCATAAATGTTGATACTTCGATACGAGCCTCTCGATCGACTATCACGCGAAAGAACATTCACAATTTGCAGTTCTGACGTCAGTAAAATAAATAGAGTTTAGCCCCGTATCGACATTGCTAGGTACGATGCCAAAACCACTGTATTAGCTTCTCTTACCAATCAGCAGCTAGCCCGCTGGCTGTTCACAGATTTACCACGACAGGTGCATGAGACAAGGCGACCTGCTTAAACGACTTCAACGAAATAACGGAGTCAATACCTCTGGCTGCAGCTTCTTCCAGTCGCTTCAGTTCCTGTTATAATGCACCATTCACCAAAACGCGACCTCAGAAAGTCGAAGTTCCAATCGATTTAATTCTACAGATTACGGGAAGAATAAATGGCGCTATACAGAAGAGGCTCATGACTCAATCCATGACAGGCAAACTCTGTAAGATGAAGCGGGATATTTGATATCAGAATTTTATTTATTTCAAAGTCGCCCAACTAAAAGGTTCTTCCATATCCGAACTATTACCTGCTCATTCATTCTCAGCTCGTCTTCTCTTAGCTTCAATTCTCTCTCCTTTATCTTCAGTTCCTGATATGTGCAGAAATGATAACAGAGTGGAATAGCTCAGTCAGGCAAAAGTTGTATTGACAATATCACGTTACAACAAGTCCGTCCAAGGAAGTCCGAATCGACTTACTGGAAAATTGCTTTAATCAAGTAGATGGGGCAAACTTACTCTTTGCTTCAATTCTCTCTCCTTTATCTTCAGTTCCTGATATGTGCAGAAACGATAACAGAATGGAATAGCTCAGTCAGGCAAAAGTTGTATTGACAATATCACGTTGCAACAAGTCCGTCCAAGGAAGTCCGAATCGACTTACTGGAAAATTGCTTTAATCAAGTAGATGGGGCAAACTTACTTTTGCTCCAGGAATGTCCACTGTAGCATCGCTTGCATTCAATGGTTCAGGCCGGAGAGGAGAGAGACCCCTTGAATTGGCCTGCGGCACGCTGTTTTGTTGCTGCAACGAACGTCAGCAATATCGAGTCCGAAGTGTATCAGTCACACTTCGATTTTGTTTCCACCGCTGAATTGAGGTCAGTAGAGTACACTGCTAAGCGAAAGCGATAAACTCGTCCTCAGCATCTACAGAGGGCTTACATGCGAAGGAGCACAATGATTTATTGACTTATTACTTTCAAAGTTTCTCCACTAAACGACTGAGCTGGATAGGCCCTTCGGTACAGGAAAACCTTGCTGCTACAAACCGATACTGCTTAACCATGAAACCAGAGCTATGCCGGCTTCTTCTCCCCTCGACTGTAATGCGAATAACCCTAACCAGACCCTTCAATCCGCAGATCTGTCGTTACAATGAGCATGGACCAGAGATAATGCCTCTACGTGAAGCACCGGAAACCTTCAAACCCAAGAAAAAGTAGAGCCCATTGACTCCTCAAGAACTTGGCAGCGCTACAACTCTTTCCTAAAGCAGCGTGAAAAAACCAGGCGAGGTGCGGCAGCCCGTCCTCCATTTATGTCGTAATAAGTAAATGGTCCACATCTGTCCTAGGACAAGCCCAAAATTGAACAACTGCCGCTGCTGAGGATCCTCAACATTGCTCTGTGCCCCTCTCCTCATATCAATGCAGCAACGAGCCGATCTATGCTCTTACGATTGTCCCTGGGCACGTGGACCAAGAATGGATTGGATCTACAAGTCTACAACAATTTTCGAGCAGGAAAATACACACCAACTTACCAAAAGTCTTACAGAGAGAGGGTTCACTTCGTCGTCTTGCACATCAAACGGATTACTGTCGTACCCTCCAGCCATCTGGAATCAGCTCCAACTCTCAGCTTCGACGAGCAAAAATCTCGGAACCACACGTCCTCGGATTTTCTACAGTCGGTGTGGGATGGGTGCTGCGGCAGCTCTCGGTCCACAAAGAATTGTAACCACGGCGGCGGTCAATTCCTCCGCGTGAGGGTTAGGTCCTACGCGACAAGCATTCCGCGGACTTCACCGGAGGTACAGGTCCGAGGCTGGCAGCTGATGCAGCGCGGTGGTGTTTCGGATTGTCTCCGAACGGGTTCGTGTGCTTCTGTGACTGCGCGGGGCGGACTCTTGGATTGGACAGACTGCGTAATTTGCTGCTACTCTGTGCTTAACTGCGCTCGTCCACAAGCCAACCGCGAGAGCCATGTCGATGAGAGAAAATCCCCAACTTTTTCACCTCTGCCGAGCTACGCGTTTGCACGTTCACAGAAAATCACCTTCGGAGAGTTTCGTCCTTTATGCCCTCCCCCAGTTTTCAGGGGATTCGACTAATCTGTGCCCATATATGGCATGCCCATTTCCTTCTCCTTTACTGCCACTGTGGTGGCCCACCTCCTGGGTCAGCTTTGGGAATTTCGGTCTGCCCGATGAGGCCCCATTATTTAGGCTTGGCCACGGGCGGACTGGATGTTAATCGGTCATAATGTAATGTAGTTCATTTCTTGGTCACGATTCGGTCCGAAGGTCAACCGGTTAATCGTGGGTCTCGTTTAACCGATCCACTTTTTTTCTGAACCGGTTAACCGGACCGTGCCCAAGCCTGCCGTCATTTATTACTGGATGCCAATAAAACTTGGATACTAGTTCCTAATGTTTTATTTGGACCAAAATAAGTACACTATTGTGAAGGACATTCGCTAACAATGACATTACACTCATTTCATTGACATGTCTGAACTGCATCGTGGTTTAGGATCCTGCATCCAGGAGAGGACTGTATTTAGAACGTCCTCATAGCGCACAAACTTTTTTTCCCCTTTTCGTTCTGGGAGGAACCTTCTATGTTACTCCAGATCAAACATGCCAGTCAACTAGAATCTTTTCGCATGGGCAAGTATTGATTCACTCCATTACATTTGAAAACATGTAGAAACTTAAGGCGATTGTACCTGATATCAATTTTTATTTACCACTCCAATGATCACTAACAACCTAACTTGTTGAGCTGCAATAGTATGAATGGGAGCTGTGTGGAGGGTTTTGAACGGTAATAGCTGTCGAATAATCTCCAAATCCGATAATGCCCAATGGATATATATACCCTGCACAGTATCTTCCCATCATAACAATCACCGACTTAGTCACATCTACCATATGTGTTGTTATGTACTCAATATATATTGGAACCATGATGTTTCTCAGCCAGGCAAAATATCCCCAAATCAAATCAGATCCTTAAAATTGTAGTCGCAAAATGTTTGTATATGACACAACGAAGCTAATGCAATCATTGGATACTTACTAGAGAAACTCAGGTTATGGATAACATAATAAGTCAAAAGGTTCCATTAATAGATTGCTGTCCGGATGCCTGAGATTTGCTCTGTGATAATCATAACTGTATTTCGGAGAGACTGCGCGTACCACTACATCTAAATCCGCGGTTACTATGGGTATGATTAGAAAATTCTTACCAAGAAGGCGGGAAGAATACACTTTGTCTTTTCTTACAGCCGCAGGGCCTGTCAGGAACAGCCAGAAATACAACATATTTCGGCGTGGAGTCACTTCATCCTCGTGCATTGCCCACGTCGGAAGGAACCAGATCCGAGTTCTATTTCCACAGAAATAGAACTCAGTTCATCATGGCTCTATCCCGTTCAAGACAAGAGATGACGTAGTCATCATCTTGGAATCTCATGCTTCTGTAACATGGCTTCTATTTCATTAGTGACTGTTCAATTAGACCAAACACATAATCGTGTAATGTGTCTGTAGGGACGTTTTGCACGGAACGAGGTAAGAAAAGTATGCACGGGATTGCTTCTCCGTACGAGGTTCGATAGACAGTTCCCTTCTGGCTGTCACTGTGTTTTTTACCCCAAATCCAGATTGGCTTCATGTACATGCTAGAGACATACACATACACATTGTCTGTGGACAAGCGTGGCCAAAAGCATATTCCCAGTGATGCATTCTCTGTGAGCTTCCGTCCCCTAGAACCCTTATATATTCGTGCACTGATTGAGAATTCTTGCTGCTCGAAATGTTTTACTACGTTAGTCCAAGTTGGTTCTTCGACGTGTTGTATCTGCGACAGTGAATTGGAAGATAATTAATTGTATAACGAACAGCTTGAGAACAGAACTAAGTACAAGATGTGGAGGAGCGGGCTTCTCAGCACGCTCGGCTGAATATCTGGATCTACAGTTCATGCCTATCAACATCAATAGGTGAGCAGTCAATTGTCTTATGTTTTATAAAGTGACGAGTGAGGTTGCAGTTGCAGCTATAACTCTGTTTCCCTTGACTGGTCCGTAATAGACATTATCAACGTGGTATCATATGCCCTTGCTTTCGAGAATAAAGTTCTGTAATAATCACCATACTGTCCGAACTTGCGATGCGAGCAACTGTTGTAACTTTGCCGTCTAGAAGTTTCTCATATTCCCGGTGTGTTAATATAATATGTAGCCATATGTGCGTGAACAATCTTAGGTAAAGGTATAAGCCACTTTCACATTAGTTTAGGACGACCTGTATGCCGCACTATGGTGTTATAAGATTAAAATGTTTCAATTTCCAGCATAATAACAGAGAAAACAGTACGCAGTTTTTATGACGTCAAATTGATATGATGCTGTCTGTCAGAGAATGATACGCGTTAAAGACTACGCTTAAACTGCAACACAAAGCCTTTGGGTTTTATCGTGGTTAAGTTGAATACGCATAAAAACCAAATCCTTTATTCACATAATCATTTGACTATCATATATGTCATGCTATGATCTGCAATAACCCAGTTGATCATCATCTGCAACAGTTTCAATTTTCTGCAAAATCTCTTTCCAATTGAGTTTTTACAACATGAGTTAAGAGTTTCGCAGAGAATATACATGCGGTACATTGATTCTTCTCGATGTTCTCTACTAACAGGTTATATCAATCAGATTTCAGTGATTGTCTAATTATTTCATCATTTCTTTATCAGTGTACCAACTCTAATCTCATTATATTCTCAAACTTTATGTTTGTCTCATATATTAAGTTCAATGTCATTCACCGCTTCGTAAGTACTAAAAATATTGTAGTTGCTGATAGTGTTTGGATTATGTGTCTGTCTTCTGGGTCCTACGTTTCAGTTGCTCAACGCGGATTGTCTCCTCGCCGGTCTAACTTCTAGAATAATTTGAGTCAGTGAATGAGCTTCAAACGTTGATAAGGCAATTATGAACGGAGAGCGGCCTGCTTCGGAAACTAAGGAGATGTGAAAAGAACTTCTAAACTGTCAACGCACCCAGAAATGTGGAGGCTTCAACCTATATACGTAGCATCCCAACTCAAGTTTCAGTTACCGAGTCAAAAACTGAGCAATTGAGTTCAGATTATCCTGACATGAAGGTAAGAATGGGCTGCCAATTGTTCATGTCAGCATGGTGAAAAAGTCCTTGCCGCGCTGATTGCTCGCATATCACACGTAGCGGTTTTCAAGCATATTTGTATACGCCCTCAAGGGGAACAATTTTCATGACAATGTGACAGCAGTCAACACGAGGAACATCCCTTGACCTGCGTGATTATAGAACACTTTCAAAAGCCAGCAATCATCTCTGTTACAGCAAAATTACAAGCTGTAACAGAGAAGATGTTGATAGTATATGAAGAACTTACAACTGCTGCAGTTGCACTCGTCCGTAGGCGATGTTAATAGTGACAACGCAGTTTCTCTAGCTCGTACAATCATTCTGCGCGGGCTTTAAATAAGATCTGAACAAGTAATAACAAAAATCTATATGTAGCACCAGAAAACTGTTCAATGGTATACTCAAGAAGAATTAATTACGCCCATGCATCTCATGACTAGAAAGAGCTTCTTGCAAAACCATTTCACGATCATACCTGCGTTATGATTAGACAATCATCAAGTCAGATAGAAGACCGAAACAGGATATAATAGAAGGACCTTCGGATGAAGTTCAAAGTTTCAGGTAACATTATCTCTTGTACTTACGTGAAATACGGCACAATCTATCTTCACATGGCTAGATCAGAATCCCCAAATGGATTATAAACTCGGGATATCTGGTTTTCAAGAAGATCAAAGCAAGGGGATGAAGTCCCTGTAAAACCAAAATCGTCTTCTTCGGTCAATTGGGTCCTTCGACCTCCCTGCTGTTGTTACAAATATTGGAGTGGAAATCTACTATATTTGGACTGACCGGATCCCAGTCTGAAAATCGCATCTTCGATTTCCTAAAACTACATGCCACAAGGGCATGTAACATAAGAAAAACAAGGGCAGAAGCAAACAGCAAAAGGTATATGTAGAACACATCAAGCCATACAATGATAAGCATGTCATGTAACACATGATCAATCACGTAAGGTTTCCCAATTATCAGACACAAACTATCAAAGAATAACCCCAGCATCCATCCACTCATTAATGAAATCGATTTTTCCCTTTCATACAACAATACCGGATACTTTTTCAGCAGTAAATAGAAATATTTACTTCAGATTATTTTCACAATACACTTATTAAAGTGACGCCTTGCTACATATAACAAACTCTCCTCCACCCTCTAGAAAGGCATGTTGGAGTACACATGACATACATTAAATCTGCAATCGTAGGGACTGGCTCGAATAGAAGCTGAAATATATATTATCTCTTCTTAGGCCTCATATTCAATTCCGGGGAGAGATATTTTTATTCCAGTGTTTAGGTAAAAGACCCTGTAATAACCCACTAAAGGCTAAAACTGCAATATAGTGGTAGAAAGGTCGAACCCACAGGGACAGAGGAACACACAGGGTACAAAGTGTCACGTTTTAACAGACTATTGAGGAGTTTGAATTCTCAGGCGACTGTCACTCCCAGAAATACTGCAAGTGTCCACTCGGAGCGCACTCGGAGGTCGCACAGTGCAGCGTAACACACACACGCACACCTGAAACTACAGAAACACAACCCAGAGATCCGTTAGGACCTCTACTTCAAGATTTCAGGGGGAAAGTCTCTCAAGAGTACACTCTGCGAAGCTGCGGGTAGTGACTTCCAACTCCGGCTTTTACAACACTTCCACTAGCTTGCTGCT